GTGTTTGAAGTTGATGTGTGCTTGACGGCAGGGCAACGTATAAAAGGAGAGGACAAACCGCGCAATCCTACCGTACGCCCATTCCTCCAAGTAACGGCGTTGGGTCCGCACTGTAGCTTGCCTTTTTCCCTATTAAACATTTTTCTCTTGTTCGACTACATAACCTTTGCAACATCTACACCCAGCTGACTGAGTGGACCTGTATGTTCTGAGCTTTTATTATAACTGTCTCCACAGCGACGTCCATTGCAGTTGAATGCCTTGCGTCCAGTCACTTGTCACGTTGTAACGTGAGCGCGTCTGCACTGTAATTTATGCTTTCATCATCCACGTCTTGCGGCATTCGTTTCGGAATAACAAATCTGGTCCCCAAAATGAAATTAGCGGCTAACCCTACTCAGCCGTCCTTAGACATTTCCGGTCTGAGAACCAAGGCAAATTATGTTTCCTCAAGTGAGTGGGATTTCCAGGGAAAATGGGGGTGGGGTTTTGTCATTCGATAATGCCCTTTTACGTTTGACTCCAAAACGTTGATGTGACAAAGCTGCCAGTGATGTCTCTTTAATTATTTCTAGCGCGTGAACATTCACCCATGATCACCCTGGAACCGTAGACAAGACAAGACGGGATGACATTCCTCCTATCGAAGACGGGAATTCCCACCACGATTGATCTCTCTTTTCCTTATCTTTGTTTCTGTTTTAATCGTTTCCTTCATTATACATAGTGACAGTGATTTCTGTCCAATTCACTGGAAAGAAAAGATTACCTCACTGAATATTGCGAAAATTAGGCTTATGTCTAAGTTACAACTTAAAAAATAAGGGACCGGCAGAAAATCCACCTTTTATACCCAACCAATTGCCCAAACCATTCGCACTCATCTGAGTGTTTGATGCTCGTGATATCGGAAAACTCGAAACAAATATTTATTGCCTTTTTTCAGAACGGAACTGTTTTGGCAGACGATTAGTTTCGCTTCCGAGCCACGTGCCAGACAAAAACGACTTCAGGTTGAAAAGGGCTCACCTCACCTTATTAATAGACGAGTTGTAACCCGTACGGCCCCCACACGAGGTCGCAGTTTTAAAGGGACAGTGGAGCATAAAGCGTTTAAAAAGTATCTTGGCTGTGCCATTCAATTGTACATTCTATTTTGCTCTCGCTTATTTTTTTTAATCTCTCGTAAGGTTCTTCGGATAGTTCTTAAGATGACTCTACGAAATACAAAAGGAAAATGACCAATTTTTTTCAGGGGGTGGGGGATTTTCATTGAAAAAAGACCAGAAAAATAATATAAAATTTCCGACAGTTATGGAGAAAAGTTATTTCCGAAAACTAAAAAGGGACAATATACTGAGAACTTTTTGCGTGTTTGGGGGCTACTTCAAAATTATCAGTTTTTGTTAGTTTCGGATTTTCTCCAAAGTTTTGGTCGATTGGTCGGAGAAACTGACGGTAGCCCACGCATATTATTCTTATTTCAGACCACGATTTCGACACATAACATCGCATGTGTTTGTCTTGTGTTGAATGTTTGGGCTGGTGTGTCAACAACATTGTGGGAACTATCGAAATTTAAAAGCATTCACAACTTGACATGGACCATAAGAGAAGCCTTTCATAACATGTATTTCCTGTGGGATGGGACCCAAGGAAATTACGCCCCTATTGGCTCCTTTGCCAATTGAACCGTTAAACCTAGGAACACGATTCCTGGTTTCCCAAGTACAACAAAAAGTGAAACAGCCTAGAATACGGTACGGCGTGTTATAGCTTTTAATGAATGAACTATTAGTGTGAATGGTGCATTACACGCATTCACTGCCCACAGTGATTTTTTTTCTGAAGCTGTCGCTTCCAATTTGCCGCGACGTATCCCCGACATCCCGCCGACTGCGCCCGTCTCGAGAATTTCAGTGACAAATAAGCCGCCCGGCGAGTCACCTCAGCCTCCCTCCCCCCGCCTCTCTCTCCAACTCCCGCGAAAAGAAATTCCACTGCACTCTGGCCTTACCAATTACCGCTGTGTACATGTGCAAAGCATTGTGCCTGCGTGCAGTGTTCTCACGAGTAACAAAAAAGTCCTTGCGTGTCATGGCTGCGGCATTCCGTCTTTTGCGAGGGTTGAGGGCGCTCTATGTTTAGCCGCCCCAAATCAGTGGTGGATATACCAATGTCGGAGTTTTGTCCGGTTATCGGTCCTTACTACTCCGGAGCTGTTTATCCCGTCGGGGTTTCCGTATCGTTGTTGGCATGGCCTAGATCGTTTCGACCATTTCAGATGCCGTGCGCGAGGTACTGACCATCCCATGTAGGTAAGGTGTCTTCGTGTCGTTAAGTTATACAGCGGTATTTATCCAGCTGTGCATATTGTGTACTGCAGAGACTAGACTTGTTCCCCGTTTGCGTAATGCGGGCCTGCATTTTGCCTGTGATGCTCAGACAGCCCCAAGCATCGGAAGTTGGTCTGGAGATCTTTTGAATTCTCAAGATAAATACAAGCCACTGTTCGAAAAAAATATCGAAAACGGAAACTCAGATCGGCGGCTGCAGAGCCCTCGATTGGAAGCCATTTCTTAGCTACACTTCCCCTTTAAATTGTGCGAAACCTTGGGCAAACTATGTGATAAACTCGGTCCGCACAGGTTAGCGGTGTGCGGTGGCGTTCCGTGAGCCTCACTCCAGACACATGCCATTGAAATGGCAACGTTGTTCATTAAAGGGATGTTGTTCCTGTGTTTCAATCTCGCAACTGCGTTTAATACTAAAATACATGTAATAGTCCGTCTGGAGAAGTGTAATTTATCCGTCTTCCTCTTTAATTTGTGTAAGTTGCTCCCTTCACTCCAGCCCTTTGTTTATTTAGCTCTCCACTTTTTGAATACCTGTACATATTGTTGTGGGGGGGTCTGCATCAGTCAATGTACATTTTTCTGGTGGTCGTGCATCGTATTTCATAGTCGCACGGCAGGGAAAATAAAACTGAATTCTATGTCAACATTTCTGGACCACACTTAGGAATGCGACCACATCGTGCCGGCCAAAATGCTCGAAATCGTTCGCGCAGACAGCGAGTGCTGCGTATTTGTTGTAATCACGAACCCACGGGGTGCAATTTTGTAATCATTGTTTTTCCCTTTTAAAGTGACGCGGGATGGAAATTGAAAAAACCGTTGACGCTGATGAGCCAAACAACACAGAAATTCCCTGAGATGTATGTAAATGGTACTCACCCTGTATTTAACATGTTTTCAAATATGGAATGTAAGTTCAAGCACCTATCTATTTCAGCCATAAAACAGGTTTCCTATCAGTTACGAATACAGGTTATCAGCGCTACGCTAACCGGGTGCTCTCAAAAGAGCAATAGATTCGCAATCAAAAGGAATTACTCAAAGATGCTAATCTTTTGTCAGAAATACTAGAAGGACGTAAATAAAGTAAATGTGTCTATCCCGTCATGGTGTAGTACACGCTCAGGTTGTATTTTTTTATTCAACATTCCCAATGAAATACGGCCGTTTCACAAAAGTGCGCCACCAAGAGTTTGCAACGCGTTGGCCACTCACAATGCGAGAAATCTGTGGACCAAATGCGTGTTTCGAAAGGGTCGACAGATTTTGCGGGTTGTGATTGGCCAACGCGTTGCAAGCTCTTCATGGCGCACTATTGTGAATTGCCCGTATTCGCAGTCCGTTCCACTTTTTGAAATGTTTGCGAGCCCCACTCAGAAATATTTCTCAAAAGGTATTAATTTCGTATCAGAATTAACAAATTGAAACTCGATACGACCACTTAAATTTGCTTTGCAGAACCAACACGCTTGAAATGGCAGACAAGTTTAATGCGGTACCGCATTTCCAGACTTGGTCATGGAGTGGAGTCGATTCTTTGGTTGTACCCACAGTTAAGATATTCGATAATTATTCGTTAATCCTTACGCATCATTTCATAGAGTTAGCACGCGCTTGGCAAGCGCATAGAGCTCAAACACCGTCATTTCTTAGCTCCAGGCTCAATTAGTCATAATGCCAACTCTATTCTGCATCCGAACAACTCTCCTCGAGAATGCCCAACGATGCAATTTACTATATGGGTGCGCACTCCACTCGCCCACGGAAAGATAATATCGACAACACGTACGTTCACCTGCACCGTATTGATGTGACTATGGGGCATCATTTATCTTCAAGCGTTGACTTCATAAGCCGACCTCGCCCTCATACAAAGTGCTCATGTGAGACAAATTCTTTTGGCGGGTTTTGGGTACGTAAGGATATTTCAGCACGAATCTCTCCTCACCAGACCGCATGCAGAATAATGAAAGTCAACTTTTAATACATTGGAAGGGTGCATGGAGATGGGAAAGTAAGTACGGCCATCTCGAAAGGGCGAAATGATTGGTGGGATAACGATCGTTTTACAATTATAGTTGTTCAGGGCTCGACCTTAGCACTAGCCCGACGGTCATTGTCTTGTAAAAACAGCCGGGGCTAGTAAAAAACTCCATTTACTAGCCCGGTGGGCCAGTGTAAAAAACCTTAAGTGCGAGGCCTGTTGTTGATTGGCAAAATGAAGTATTTTGTTCTTAAAGTAGTTTGTCTCGATATAGCACATGTCAAAGGCCTGCATGCATGCATATATCTCACAATCTAGAAACTCTTTGGGCGGGTTGATCTGGAATTCGTGTCCCGAGATGTTAGAATCCTTGTCCGAGATAGAGATGACACTTTTCCGGATCACAGTGACAGCAGACTGTGCGTGCAATACCACAAACAATTGCCATGAACAAAAATTGAATAGGTTCTCGAAATGGAACATACATTATCGAAATGTGGAATGTTATCCCTTTGGATTTCGACTCAAATAAATCATCTTTGCTTGATGTTACCCAATACTTCTCTAGTTTGAAATCTCACTAACAGAATAATGAATGTCTCATTCATGTTTGGAACTGTACAAACTTGAGGTCTAGCTGTTATCTTTTTTGCTTTCAGGCCAGGCGGATGGTAGAGGTGATTACGATGAGAATGGAAGGAGTTGACCCGAGTACCAAGGATTTACCGTGTCGACGTGCCTCCCTACAGCCGACCCTCCTCAGCCATCGCCGCTCAACTTCCCTTGCTCCGAAGGCCTTGCTGTCGTTGGATGGTAGCAGTCGCGTGGAGCTGAGGAGCCCCCTCCTGGGCTCCCGACACCTCCCATCCAGGCTACGGAAGGCATCCTTGTCCAATCTGAGAACGCTGCCCTGCATCACCGCTTTAACCATCAACATGTCTCTGCTGGTCAGGCAACTCCAATCTGTGACCGGCAACCCAAACGTGGACGCGGACGTTCTGCGGATGGCCATCCTCTTCAACGACGTGGCCACCGTGTCAAGGGTTCTGCACGCCCACTTTAACCTGTTCAACGTCAATTACGACGTGGTTGGTCCGGGGACCAGGAAAGCCCGACCTCGGAGCGATAGCCTGACCGTCCAGGTGCTGCTGAATCAGAGCACGGCCCTCATCAGCAATTGGGAGAGGAGCCAGGAGGACGACGCCCACCACGGAACACCCAAACCGAGCGTGTTCACGAACGCCTTGCACCTGGCCATAGCCTGCGGGTCGACCGAAGTGGTACGCCTGCTGGTCAAATGCGGCGTGGACCCCAACTGCGAAGGGGTGGAACTCCAAGAGGATCTGGGCCTGACGTCCAACCAGCAGACGAACGGCACTGACCCTGACGGTCTTCAGTACTTCGCCAACCAGATCAACTCCGTGCGGGAATGGTTTGTCAAGCCGGCCGTGCATCTGGCCACGCGGATGGGGAACTGCCTGATTGTCAAGACCTTACTGCGTTATGGCGCCGATCCCGAGGCTGAGGATTCCCGAGGCGCCACGCCGCTTCACGTAGCCGCCCAGTCCCCGCTGGAGCGCTGGGAGTGCGCCGCTATTTTTATCGAACACGGTGCAAGGATATTTAAGGCCGACAGCCGGGGCCAGCGGCCGATCGACGTGGCCCCAGGGCTGGAGGTGCTCCAGCAGAAAGTGGTCCAGGAGATCCTGGATGTGTTTTACCCTGAGAAGGGCCCCGACGACCCCGAGGAGGACGTCCTGCAGCAGCGGATCAATTCGGTCCGGGACAACCGCAAGGTGTCTCTCGGACTGCTGGCGCTGCCGCGCTTTGTGGCCAAGGTAGCCCGATCTCGCTCGCCCAACTCGCGGGACCGGTGCGCCACGGTCTGCATCCCGCAGGAGGCCAACCAAGACAGGGAGACCCCGGAGCAGATTGCTGCGGCGGAGAAGCGGAGCCGGAAGATGAGCCTCGGGCTGTGGAACTGGCTGGACAGGCGCCGGAGATCAAGGGAGGATCCCGTGAAGAGCGACCAGGAGCACACCGACTCTGTACCGGGATCGCCCGTAGAGAAGACGTCGCAGCCCGCGCCGAACGTAAGCGGAAATGAGCCCAAGCTCAATAGATCAAGAACACATACCCTGGATGATATAGAAGAAGGTAAGACCGAACAGATTCAGAAATTTTCAACCATCATAAAAAAGGAATTGGCCAAACAGAAACATGATTGTGTACTCAGTAATATAAGCTGCATCCTTATACCCGTTGACTCCGAAATGCCCTTGTACCTGGTACATTAAATTACACTTAAAAGTAGATGTCAAAATCGAGTCTAGTGCTGTTTACTGGAAACGTGCCGTTTGGTATTTTGTCCATTGAGGAATGAGACAGTGCAGTTACTACTGATGCCATGATCAAGGTTAACAATCCAATATTATTAATTTGTCTGTTAGAGGACAGTATAATGTGACAGTCGGCTTTCTTAAAGAAACAGATTACAAGAAACGAAACAACATGAAGCTTGTGTACTCCACTTCTTAAGAAATTCCACTATTCGCTGCATCCCACAGAGTGAACACAAAGGGCGATCAAATGTGCAAAAGTAGACAAAGACAGATTAGATGCCTCAAGCCATGTCCATGACAACGAAATTGGCATCGCAAATTTCTATACCACAGGTGATTTGTATTAGGAAAAACGAAATTTGTTATCAGTTCACTCATCAAACATTAATCGATCACGGTAATCTAAAACTACAATTTTGAAAAGTGTCTAACCACAAAATTGAGTACCACGTCTCAACGCTATAGGGTCAACAGGAAACAATCTCTAGGATCCAGCACAGACTACCCAGTATTCTCACTAGCATGCTAACACGTGGAAGACTTTGAAAAAAAGTCACGTTATGTTAGATCAGTACCAAAAACAATATTACGATATGGCATCGCCACCCGTGAAGACGGTAGTTGTGACAATTTTGAAGAATGTTTAGTTTTAGTCTAGTTTCAATACATTTATTTCCATTTCAAGACAATGTAGAAAAATACAGTATTAAATATAACAACATAACGCTCTGAAATAATCAGACCTCACTCTTCACGATATATTCTGGAAAAAGTCCAAAATTCTGGTTGTTTTTGAATGTTCTTTTGGAAACCATTGATTCCTGAATTCGCTTTGGAGGGTGCTCCGCTAATGTTAGAATTTTCCGGCCTTAGTCGGTGCCGTGCAGAACAGCGTCTGTCGGCGAGGACGGTGACAGAGAGGGACGCGTCGTAATCACGTCACTGGATTCATCGCGAGAATTACCGTTGATAAATCAAATTTCTGGGCCGGTAATCACGCGGGATGAAACCGCAGGCCCAAGACGATGCGCACAGCCGACGATAGCCATACGGCAGGGATTTTGATAACGCAAGGAAATCGCACGTAATCACAATACCTGGATGTAGTAGTAGCGTGCAGACTGTGGGAAAAAAGATAGGATGTCACTGACCGACTCTAGCGCAGACTATTTCAAACGTTGGTGGCGCATGTGCTGCGTCTGCCGAAAAAAAAATGAGGCAGATGTACAGGCCCCAATTTCACGTGTGCACGGCGCTGCTAAGCACACAATTTAACGATAACAGAGGCGTCGTGTATCTCATGGAGACCGTAAACAGTAAGCACAACAAGCGACACGTTTACCTCAGAGGAAAAATTTGCTCGATGCAGTTGCAAAACAGTGGAAATCTCTCTGCGCGGGCAACCATAAGCACACCCACACCGAGCACCATCATGAAATAGCGTTTAGGGCAATTAAGTTCAGTTTTTGTGCTGTCGAGCAGCTCCTTGGAATTGGGCCCAAATGGCTGCTTTTTCATCAATAATCAGATCAGATCCGGCGTGTTTGAAATGTACTCTTTGTACAACAAAGCTGGCGGCGTATACACAGTGCCGCTTGCACACACTTCAAAACGCTACACACAGTTTTTGAAGTGAAAATCCGGAGTAGGATGCTCAATTTTCTCCACTTTGAACCCTCTTTTAATCTCTTTTTTATTCCCTTGACTGTCCGTCTCCACAATCCCAACGAACCTTTAAATGCTCGTAAGACAGCATAGAAATCTCCGGTTTTGCGTTTGTTTTTCCCAAGCAAGATTACGCAACCTCCATTATGTGAACAAAGTCATGTTATGTTCTCAGGTCCACGTCTAGTACCGTATCTGTGTGTATGTTAAACAAACTCATGACACAAGTGCCCTCTTTGGTTGCATATATGCGCTTGCTTCAGATGCTTGCTGCGAGACCTTTGCGGCCGAAAGGAGTGTGCAGATCCTCCAGCGTCTGTCGGCCAATCAGGAATGCCTGCCCCTCCTCCTAGACCGCCTACCAGTGTGCCTTCCCAAACTTCAGCCTCTGACGGCCAGCCTGGGAGGACAGCTCGGCCTGGGTGTCGGCAAGATGCTCCGGAACATCCTTCAGGTAAATAGGCTTTTGTTTGTTTTGTTTTGGTTTGTGTGTTTGTGTGTTTATTTCTTCTTTGCTGTTTTGTGAGGACGACTTAGAGGATTTGATCATCACCATTTCCGAATCCCTTATTATATTTGAAAGAAGACAATGTGAGGTTTTGTTAGTGTTAATGTTCACAGTTAGTTCAGTTGTAATCGAGCTACCACAAGGCAGTCATTCGTCAAATGACAATTCTGTGACACGTAAAATCCCGTGTCAATCACAGTTCAGTCTCCAACAGGATTTCACATCAAATCTCGAGTCAACACTAGTCAAATATTGCGTCGATCCTGTGCCAATAGGTCAGTCAGAGGTCATTTGCAAGTCTTTACTGGGTTGTATTCAACTGATAACTTGTTTACCACAAAAAACCTGTTGTGTTAAACTGGTTCTGAATTAACATCTTCGGTATCGATATCTGGGGGATTTGGTATCGATCTCTGGGGGGTACCGAAATGTTAGGGTAACATCGGAAGTTTTGGAAATGCAACAGTTTTGGTTGCGACTCTGCTTTGTTGGCGGTTGGAGGAACTTTCCCAACTAACGTGTCACAAAAAAATTCTATGAGGTTTCCCGGTAAATATTAACATCTACGATGCCAAAATACGCCTCTATTGCCAAAATTGAATTTAAAAAAAACAAATTTATGTGGGTTTTATTCAGCTGATTGTCGAAGCTGAATAGTAAATTTCTAAATAGTATTGTGTGGCATTCAAAGTTATCAGCGACATCGTAGTCTCCATTTATTTTGTGTGCAGTGTTTGAAAAGCATCATTTAAGCATCCAAGAAATGTCCGATCCCCAAGTGCAAAGTTGCCCACAGTGCACACGTTAATGAAACATTTTATTCATAAAATGTGATTTACTAATTACCGCACATTGCAGTATTTCGGGGACACGATAATGCATTATGATCTCAAATTGCTTCAGCAAACCCAACTAATTCATTTCGGAGTCATTCAGGGATTGCCAAAGTGTTTCGATCCAGGAGAGCTCCGATGCTGACGCTTTCTGGGCGTGCGAATGATTTTGAGTGATTTATCATTCTTGCCAGTTGTAGCTTCGAAGGGAATAACTCGGTCGCCCTGAAGGCGGGATGTTCCACTAATTCCTGCAATTTGTCGGTTAATGTTTTCAGGATAAACTGTGATATATATGCCTCGCTGTCTGCACGAAAGTGCCATATTGACACACAGGTGAGGTTGCATTTACGTTCATGTTGTACAGTTACTTTGCAAGTTGCCGAAGATACAAAATAAAAGAGCGCATTCAGTTGATCTTATTCTCTCGAGTCAGCTCTGTTGAATCCGGTGCGAGTTGTAATTACCCGTGTAACTTTTCTTATACTTATTAAGTCTATGTGTAAGGAAGATGGTGCAATGCGTACAGATTATAGATTACCACCCTTGTTCTCCGATGGTTTATTCCAAATTATGGACAAAAAGCTATGTCCAAAAGAAAACATTTCAAAGTAAAGCTGTAGTCAAATAGTCAGGCTCCTTCCGGTTTTAGAGTGTTCAGTATATGAAGTGGAATCGAGGAGCATGATCCATAGTGGCCATCTTGTGAATAGAGCTCATTGCGAAGATGCTTGCTATGGGCTCCGTGCTGAACCAAAGGAGACGCGTTTTTACTAGCAACGGAGACTATGGTCCCTAACGACTATGAAACGCAAGCGTTGCAATCGCATCGCAACCAACAATAATGAACACTCCTGAGCAAGATGGCTCTTTTCAACCGATGAGGGGGTGCTTCTGCTCGGGGTGGAATGCCCAGCCTCTCTTTCGACCAAACTCCTGTCAATAATTTTTTGAAAGTGTCTATCGAGTTTGATTCAGGGACTTTCGACAAAATCTAGTCACGTGATCATTCGACATTCAGAATGCCCCCTCCCCAGTAATGGCGCAAGCGTCATACCAGCTGTTGAACAAACTTTGTCGGGCCAAATCTCGTCCTCGAGGGCTGTATTTTTAATACCCTTTTTCCAAATAACAGCAGGCAGCTTGGGGGCGCACTTCGTGACACTCTGGGGAGAAGAAGGTTGGTCCTCCGTGCGATTTCTGCATTTAGCTTACGCCTGTAAGTATATGGGTTACACGAAAGCGTTCTATTGAGCCGTCACGCATGATCTCCATGTCTGGTCCGTTGTTGGCAAGTGTCTGTGGGTTCCCCCGTGACGCATGCGCAATCCAGGGACCAAGATGGAGGCTAAAGTAAAGTGAAGGAAATAACATGAGATGCATAAGAGATGGATTAATCTGAAAGTTAATGAAATGACCTCATTCCGACGACAAAGCTAATTAAATTACCCTCCATCGGTAGACGAGAGGACGTCTGCGTGTTTGTATTTGAAACTAGTGGGAAAAAGCCTTCCGCAAGCATAACCTTACGTTTCTCCAAATGCAGAACGAAAATAGGAGACTGTCGTTTACTTTGATTTATTTGTGGCTCCCATTTGTGTCAATCCAGGGTGTATGTACACGGAAAGCTATATGTAATCGAGCGCACCCAATAATGACGTGATCGGATTTGTCTTTGGCAAAGCAACAGCGCACGTCACACCGTATTTTTCACCTCGTTCAAATTACCAGTGTTCCATGTTCCTATGTTTATTTAAATTTTTTGAATTCTAACCAAATTCCAATGCAAACTAAAATTTAATGTGAAAGAATGTAATGCTAACACAAAATACATATTACTTGATATGTGAACATCTTAATTAAAATTCAGAAGGCAAAAGTAGGGCAAAAACAAAAGCGACACTACGCCTATGTACACGTATACGGATCGCTTTTCGAGCGAGAAGATAGCTATTTTCCCAGAACGTGCTCTTAGCTAGTTCCTTATGTTCATGAAACAAGTTCGATTTCCATTGGGCATTAGCTTAAACAAAAGCAACGGGAAAAATAATGAAGAATATTGGGAATGGATTGAATACGCAAGTCTGTACCCTTTCCCTATCACGGTTAAAAGCGGGGCTGGGGTTTCAAGGGCGTAATGTCTAGCGGCCCGTGAAATCAGATCTCCAGTAACTGCGAGGGTTATGGGGCGGATAACGCCTTGTGTACGAGGTTGCCCGGCAATGGAGGAGTTTAATTGAGCTAATGAAGTAGCCTTAATGTCGGCTGGACTGCGCCGTACAAGCACGCGACTTCTGCACGGGGCTGATATTCCGTGTGTGTCTCTCGGTAATCTTCGCTTTTAAATTTCAATTTAAAGGGGCACGGATGGTGCGCTCAGTATAGACCTATGCATGCAGGGTCCGCATATTTCAAGCAATCGTTGTTCCGTCGTTTGTGGATATAATTTGCATGTAAATGTCGAGCATCAGTGGGGTTTTATGGTGGAGTCACGATATTTGAAATTATTCTGATCTCTGTTTACTTAGCAGAGTTGTAAGAATATTGCTCTCTAAGTTCAACTTCAGCATAAAAGGGAACATAAATAACGTTCAGTTTTGGTATTTGGAAGCCTACGTATCTATAGTTTAATCGTTGTGGACAGTATTCGTTGTGATAACATGCACGTATCTGCCTGATTTGACGTTTAGTGCATGCACTCATGACAGTTTTTCGAGACGATTGCTTGAGAATCAGAAAGGCTGTTCGTGGTTTGTGAAAATGACTGCACGTTGGTTGAACTGAACACCATCACGGTTGTGTAAAGTATCGCTACGTCCATTTTTAAATAGTGTGGATTGAGTCACCACTTTTCAGTCAATTGCTGCTTCGTTTAGAATACAAAACCACGTCTTCTAAATGCGCATGTGTTTAGCCTTCGACTTGCGCCCCTGCACGCTGGAACTGAGTACTTGAAGGGATGGTATTACGACATCAAAGAGGACCGCTTGCGATCACTTCTTGAATAATTTGGTCCAGGTGAACCAGTGTCGATCCGCATCATCTCGATGCACTCGGATTAATCGCATGAAACAACCCGCTTGCCATTATCAGGCCGATACTTGTTATACATATCACAGCTGTAACACTCGACAGTGTAAAAACGGGCCTGGATTGTACCTGATAGATAATGCATTGTCTGTACTGTTAACCTCCGATTACTGCTCATCATGCACTTGACCCAGAAAGTGGTTATCCTCAACTAACACATCTCCCACAATAGCAGTGTGCAAGTTGAAATGGGCACAAATGATGAACTTTCGGCAACTTACAATCAGCAACTGAACTGCAATGCAGGGAAGTTTGTTGCAAGTTTGTTTCCACCAATGGTGACACTTATGTCGCAACGCTCTCAGTACACGGCTCTGGGTTGAACACAAGATATGGCGGGAGAGGGATCTTAACCCATGACACTTTTAAAAACGTGATTCTTTTTGTGTTTATAAATAAGATTCAGGTAGTTTAATTTCCTTCTAGGATTTTTCGTTATGTCTTTTCCATTCTTCATGAAATTTCAAATATCAAACCTCTTTCTACGACGTGTTTATTGGCCCACAGTGAAGCAAATGGAGGGTTTTAAAACAGGGTCGAAAATGTTGCCATCAATAAAGCTTGGCGAACATAGCCCTAGAATGTCTTTGCTTGGGCGAGTGACTTTAAACCCTGGCAGGTGCTGCGTGTTGCTTCCACGAGAGCAGATCAAACATCAGTGGTTGGTGCTCTCTTCCGTTCGACGGAACCAATACTAGCAATATTAAAACCCACTGCTTCAGCTTTTAATAATGGAGCGGTGGTAACTCCAGGGACAGTGTATCGAAGTTGTGTAACCTATTTGTACATTGACTTGTCACATTGTACATGTATATACACGTACACGAAGTGAACGACAATTCAGATACTATAGGGGTTGGTCGGTATCCACGCACTCTGCCGTGTCATAATTGAGCTGAAACAGTGTAAGTGTGAAGTGACAGCCTTGTCAGAGACTGGGTGCAAGACGAGGACTTGTACTATCGTAATGACCATAACAGGGGATAGGTATTGCAGAGAACAGTGGTGCACCTTAATGTGTGAACAAGAAGTAGCAGGCTGCAGTGTACGTAAAACGATTGGAACATATTATAATGTTTGACTGAGCTGAAGCTACACTGTGACACCTCGACAATAGGGTATAGTCAAGCAGATCGATGGATTCATATTTCTTTCTGTGTCTTATATTGGACCGAGATGAATTAATTGGTTATGTAGTTTAATAACTGGCGTTTCATCATTTGCTGCTTTGAACGCTAGGCGTGCACGGCGCCAGGTGGCGGAGACGGGACCTTAGAAGGACTGGATGCAGACGAGAGTCACCATGGCAGCGGCTCTTTGGAGGGCATCCGGGGCGAGAGGCTCGGCAAACTGTTTCGCATCGCCCTTCAGTTCGTCAGATGCGGCCAGTGCGTCCGGGACGCGGCCCTGAGCGTCGTCAACGCGGTGCTGCGCCTGCACCTGAAGATGGAGGAGAGCCGGAATTCGACGTGCTGGGGATGCAGCAGCAGCCCACGGAGATCCGCACCGATCCCAGGATCGCCTGAGAGAGGGACACCCTACAGGCGGTCCCCCAGACACCAGCGGGAATACCACGACCAGCAAGGGGAGCATCTCTCCGTGTCGTTCAGCCGGGGGTCGAACTCCAAAGACAGTGAGTCGAACTCGATCCCGGCCAGCCCGTCCCTGGACCGATTCCGGCTGAAGGTGGAGGGCCACCAGCCCAAGACCGCGTCTCCGGGACTAACCAGGAAGCCAAGCTTTCGATACAGCTCCAACTCCTTCTACGCCAAACGGCTGGTTCTCCGGAAGAGCGTCCACTCCAAGCTGGGCAAGTTCGCCCGGAGCATCGGCCGGAGCGCCAAGACGAAGCAGGCCTCCGCCCAGCCGACAGTGCACAGCGCGGTGCGGCTCTTGACGACCGTCGACGTCGACATGCTTCTGGACTGCCTGCAGAGTGTAGCCAGGTCGTCCGATTCTGCCGAGGAGTCATCGAGTGAGAGTGAGAAGTCCTCTCCGAAGAGGCCTCCGGCAGAGGCCGGCCCGAGCCAAGTAAAGCAAGCCCAGAGGCTAGCGGCCAGGGCATTGCTGACAATATCCAGCTTACCGTCCACCCGCCGAGCCCTTATGCGTCCGGAATACATGTGGAGACTCCTGTCAGTTTTGGAGCCAACGTGTGACCAGGTAGGACCCAATTCTAATACTTTTTAATAGAAAGGTGTATTTTAAAGGGAAAATGCTTGGCAGATTTTGGTAACCAGCAAGAACTTCGTGAAATTGTGGAGAGTGTAACAAAGGCAGTGTTCGGTTAGAATATTAAGTTGAATATTAAAACATAAGTACATTTCCAATAAAGAAAGCAAAAACAAAACAAAAAAGAAAATCTGAATACCTTATGTGATGCTCGTTTATAAGGCGAAAAAAGGCCCCGATCCGTCTATAATAAACGAGGCTTTTACGGAAATATGCCTTTGTTCGGCCGAAATATATTAATACCTAAAATATGTAACAGCTTCATCGTCATTATGTAGGGTCGCGGCACAAAAGAAAAGAAGTTCTATTTGGCTTGCTTGTGTGGCGTTCCGTAGTGCGTGAGGAAAAGGGTTAGCATTGTGGGTGTTCTTGGTTCGAATCCCGTGGGGAATTTTTGAATTCGTTCCTTTGTACAGGATCTCTGCTTGGAAGAGATCAATTTTGAGAGGTTATTATATCTACTGCTACTCTATTTGTAGCCCGAAGTACATTCTTCTTTATAAGGGCAAAAGATCATTTCAACGCGTTCTCGATTAGGTGATGCCATAATAAATTTTGGCGCCGTTCCGAACAGGGTCATTTCTGTTTTAAAAAAATCTCGTTTATTAACAGCGGGTGGAAGTCCGACCGGTTCATAGAGGAATTTACATGTATATATCACAAGAGTTGGTCGTGCTCACGTACAAATCACAGGTGCTTTGCATTACTCTCTCGTTGAAGTGTCAGGTATGTTTAATCTTCACCGGTTTCCCGTCGGGAAATCGTGCGTGGGCATATTTAAAAGAAGCGTAGATTTCCCATGGGTTTTCGACATCAAGAGAGCCCGAGCCCACACCTCATTCTAGGGATTCAGCGACCGTGTATTTCCACAAGAGAAATGCAATAACGTGAATTAAAGAGAGGGCTGCGTTGCCCATCCTCGTTCGCGTATTAAAAACCGATCTCCCGGGGGATCGGATTTATTGACTTTCTAAAACGATTACGAGACTTCGAATACCACTGTTTCCGTGTCCAGGAGTCGATACTGCTGGTTTTATTGGTCCATCTTAATCGTGTTTGGGAAGCCATGGCGGTTCTGACGGTGTGAAAAGCAACGTGTTCAGCACGCGTCTGTGATGTGACTGATAGGGAGACGAGTGTATATTATATAGACACATTCGGAGAATTAGATACAAATACGGGCGTTTCACAACAGTACGCCTCCAAGAGTTTGCCACGCGTTGGCCAATCACAATGTTCGAAATCTGTCAACCCAATGCGCGTTTGGAAAGGGTTGACAGATTTCGCGCGTTGTGATTGACCAACGCGTTGCAAACTCTTGGAGGCGCACTATTGTGAATCTCCCGTATTGGTCCGAAAAGTGCGAAATCTGAAGTATCAGCAGTGAAACTTTCTCGTTGGTCAAATGTGGATTGCATAGTGTTATGAAAACGCGTAAGGGTGGATGAGAGCTGCATACACGTATGAGGCAACTATGGATGTAAGCAATGAAAAAAAAGTAACACTGCTGTTACAAAAAAATGTTCCTAGTTAATATCTTTTGTGTAATCACTCAAGACACAATGCCGGTTGTTTATTTTAGTGAGTATTTTACCGTTATACACTGTGTATTTAGCTTTTGTACCGTTTGCCAAGGACATGGCCAGATGTAAACTGGTTGTTCAGTGCGGATGCGACATTCAAGAGCAAAACTCCTTATGATTTTCAATACAAAGAATAATAAAAACAAAGTCTGAATGCGACTGGCGTCTGCAGTGTGATACGATTTCAAAATGAGTTGGTAAATTGCTTCTCAGCTAAGCTAACTTAAAAGGATTACTTTCAGTCTGTAAATGTCAACCAAGGATGACGTCAAACAACATTTGCAGTTTCCCCCAAACAATCTCCTGGGTGACGATCAGGTACTATGGCCTTTTTTGCCTCGTGAAAATGAGCGAATCGTCTGCAGTTTTCGCCCGATTATGGTCCAGTTACGCATGCTCCAGTATCAATTACCTTCGCGGGTAATAGGCTGGTCTGAACATGAGGAGAACGTCAAACATTTTTCCCCGGTCTCTCGTTACGCGTTCCTTCTCTGATGAGGCAGGTGGCCGGCGATGAGGGCCAGATTACGCGTCTGCCGATTGTGTTGAAAAGCGTTTACAGTGCTATTTGCTTGGAAGCTAAAAACACGACGGGAATCAAAGATCACAGGTCACAAAAGTGACAGCTTCGCCTATCAGGAAGGGTAGTTGGGGGAATTAGCTGTAATAAATGCCGGCCGGGGGCTAATGGGTAATCGGTCATATCGTGAAGGTCAGAAGACGTGGTCAATTCTCAACTAGATCAGTATAGGATTTACTGTTTTACTGTCTGCACGTTTTGTTTCTTCTTGTGTTTGACAGAGATTGTGTGGTCAGCATTCAGACAGCACTACATTTTCAACCATAGTATGAAATTACTGTTCTGCATATACTGAATGAGTTTCTTAATTTTATTTTTTCATACACTGCAAAACAAAACTTGATTTGAAACTGATAGCCATTCTTAATTCGAATGAACCTTTATCGATTTCTGTGTAAAATTGTACACGGAGTTGCGCAAGAAACCAGACAAAATATACCATTTTTAGGGTTTAAAGATGTACGTGGTGTCTGCACATACCCCTAAACAGTCGAACTGAATTTTATGTGGGTACGAAAATTATCTATCTAATGTCTATATTTTCATTGTTTTCTTTGAACAGGATTTCCTGTGCCTCGTTCTTCAAGTCATTGAGGTCCTTGTTTTGGATCCAACAAACCACGTGGCCTTAATGTCGGCAGGCTTGGCCCAACGAATCGACAAGATTTCCCGCCATCACGTCGATCGAACGTGGGCAAACGAGAAATCTCCTTACTTCGGATCCATTTTGGCGCTGCACATCACGCGGATCCGGGTGTACCTGGGGCTGCTAGATCACAGCGATCACAGGATGTCCAAAAGCCTACTGGGCATGGAAGGTATATAATCGCGGATTAGGTGAATTACCTCAGAAAGTACTGTGGCCCTTGTCACTACTGTACGCTGCTTTACGGATGTCGCCCCAGTGCTGATGCTGCTCAGTATGCTAATGTTGCCACCAGTTCTACTACTAGCGATGCTACCGCTGCGATGTAACGATGCTGGTGCCCGGCTCACTACTTCTAATGTTATATAGCTACCGTCGTTACTACTATGCTGATGTTGTGATTTAATGACAGGTTCAATGTTGATAATATTGCTATGATTTTTTTGTTGAAATTACTGCTATGAGACTTCTGGTCCTTTCTCTTAGGAGCTTACATTCTTCCCCTGCTGTATTGTGCTGTGCTGCTTGAGTTAGTGCTGTGTTACTTTAGTGGTGGTGCTGTGCTGCCAGAGCCGTATTAAAGTGTTCCTTAGGCTTGTGCTCTGTATCTGCCTTGAACAGGAACACCCCTCGTCGGTTGAAAAAAGCAATGTTGATCGGGAGTGCTCATTTGTTGGTAGCGATCCGACTGCAACGCTTGCGTTTCATAGTCGCGCATGGACCAGCGATTTGCAGTTACTAAAATTTCGCCCTTTCTTGGTCAAGCTAGGAGCCCAAAAGGCCCTACTCGCGAGAACCAGCGCGTGAACTAATGCCCGCGCATCCTCCATTCGTCTGTACTGTATTTCCTGGTTCTAAATGACGTCATACTTCTGTACTCGATAGACATTTTCACTAATAAAGTCATAATCATGCACGCATGTTCACAAATGACCTTAGCGGCAAGATTTGCAAGTGGGCCATTGAAAAGGTACAGGGGCGCAACTTTGATGACCATTTTCTCTCGGGTTTTCTGGCTTTGTTCAGTTTTTTCTTCAGAAAATCCCATTAAATCGTTTTTGCTACTAGTTTCTATTCTAAGTGGGATTTTTAGTGTACCCCTGTACCTTTTCAATGGCCCGCTCACACTTCTTGCTGCCACGGCAATTTTTGCGCATGCGTGCATAATTATGAATTTATTAGTGAAAAGGTCTATAAAGGCGCTAATACCAATGTCACAATGCTTGTTCATGCGTATACGTGTCCGTTCCGGTTTACGTGTTTGTGGTTCTCTGTGACATTTTTCGTAGGCCCTCATATTTTTCGTAGCCACCACCCCCCCCCTTGTAGGTCCTAGGCACAGTACCCGCTAGCTGTGTGTTTTTTCAATAATCTGGTCTCATGCGCGGCTCCGTTTGCTTATGCCACTGCAGCTTGCCTTCGCTGTTGCTGCTGTTTTTCCCTGCGGTACTGCTCTCAATATTATCGCTTCCACAACTGCTGCACGTCTCGCTGTTGCAGTTGCAAGTTGCTGTCGCTACTTTGTCGCTACTTCTGATACTGTGATTGATGTCTCTCACGTGTTGCTGGTTTCTGGTACTGCTCGCATGCACCTGATGACAGTGACGCGGGTCACAAAGACGCCAAGGACAGTGACAGCTATAGCGACGAGTGACATTACCGAGATTATGGCCTATATGTTTTAACGCAGATGAAGAACTGTTGTCCTTAAACATTTCATCTGCGTTAATTATGTGCCTCTCATCACACACACGGTTAAAAAATTATAAACTCTTTCATCATCATTTGGCTGTATTGTGAACTATTAATGAACCTGCTTAATTTGTGTTCCATCATCTTTTGACGATACTTCTGTTAACGCTGCCGCTGTAAGCGAGACGATTTGCCAAAATGAGTCGATGTCATTGTTGACCCTTCAAAATCACGCGCCCCTGCTGGTGAGTGATGCGTTCCATGGCCAGTCGTGCGCGCGAGTTCGTGAGGCTAGGAACACGAATGTTTATTTTCTACACAAATTAAAAACAATCTCAGCTTGTTTGTCACAGGTACAAAGGTGGTTTAATGTCGTTTTCTTGGCCGTTGACACAGGCAGCAGAATTATTTCTCAAACTGAACTTTCCAAAACACGTCGGTTTAGAAGCGTAGGCCTAGTGCCTACGGTCATAGTTGATGTTCTCGTTTCATTTCTTTATGCTATAATTTTATTTGTGACAAATGTATTGTATTTGTGCTTTTCGGAGTGTTCTGGATTTTTAAATCGTGCAAAAATTACCTATAACCTTGAGAATCGGCCACAAAAGAAGCATGTCAGATCTTGGCATTTTAGAAAATATTTGCTTGTAAAAATGACGATAATGTCATTCAGCACGTGAGGTGAAGTGACAAAAGGAGACAAGGTTCATTGGGATAGCCAGTCTTTGAAACTATAGATTAATCCGAATTCTCTTTAAGTGGTAATTGGATCGTGGCGTTCCTTCCAAGCATCGACTGAGTACCGTTCATCTTTGCTTGAGAGGAGACTATTCAATCTTAAAAAGAAATGAGATCCCTCGAACTTTTAGGCTTTGTATATATTTTCCAATGAGAACACATTTGTCTTGGAGGATATAATTTGGCGCCTGATGGTGAGTAGGAAAGCGAAAAACTAAAACACACCAATCCACGAAGTCCCGACCCTTGATTTTGGACCAATCACAGCCGCGATTGCTTAAACAAGCGTATGTGGGTAGGGCTCATTGATCAGTGTTATTTCGTTACAGATCTGGTAGCATCCGAACCAGTGAAAGAAAGAACGCTTAAAATGCAGGAATTACTGCCGATAAAATGTACTGTCTGTCAACTTTTATTTCTTTGATCTACATTAGTTTGCCCGAGACTAAATTGATAGAAATCCGGATATCTGACATGCCCTTCGCCTTGAATTGATTTGGGATTTTGCCTTATGTGAGTTGTTTTTGTGAAAGTATTCTTCAAGTGAAAAACCAGGTCAATCAAAAGTTCCCTGTCAACCTACTTTTGATTGAAAAGAATCTCCTAATAATCTAGCGTCGTTAACCCGGTCAAAAACACACGTCCGTCTACCTTCGCCGAGAGCAGCGACACGCCGCGATTCTCTGTTTTCACATTCATACTCATCACTGCTAAAATGCGGTGTGGCAGTTTCATTACTTGTTTTCCTGCCCAGCGAACGTGAGCTGTTATCTCTGTGTGCAACTATTCATTTACTTTGGGCAGTAATTTATTGACTGTCCTGTGTGCTTGATAGAATCATGCCCGCGTCGATATTAATGTGGGGACGGGGTAGGGCAAAAATAATGCGGCACCTCATCGTGGCTTGTGACGATTGACGACGGTGGCCTATAGAAAGACCCTGCCCATGAGACAAAATACTGGTGGTTGCATGCTGACGTCATATAAGGTCAGGACAGGGACACGAGCGATGCGGCAGGGACGTGTATACTTCTGTGGAATGGGTTGCGTTGGATGAAGCATGCTTTCTTTGAAGCGCTCGAACTGCGTCCCAATCAAACTCTTGGTGGCAGCAAAGCCAAAAGGGCTAGGCGCAATGCATTGTTCACGGTGCAAGACACGTGGCTTCTATAATGGGAACGTCAAAATTATGATGTGGGCCTACAAAGTGCCAAATCCATTATCCAGACTATTAGTACTCGTATTTTATTATTTTTATCGGGGGAGGAGGGTGTAACTAGTGACGGGAAAATGTCTTTCAAAGGGATCTCAAAATTCGTGTCCGGGTCGGAATGGAAACTACATGTGGTATAATCAGCAAAAAGAATGTTACAAGTTTGATGCACTTGCCAGCAGTAGGGTACCAGCGTAACAGCCTCTTACGGAAAACACAATTAAGTCAAATGAACAAAAAAATCATGATGGTTATATGAAGTAACAGTCTGATGTTTAAAGTATGCACAGTGTTTCCATCTCGATGTATTATATTTTATCAGCCTTCTCGGGTTTCCACTGTGCGTCAGTAAACTTGGAAAGAAATGTAAATTACCGTAATGGACTCCGTTTACCTGGGCGCTCAGAAAGTGCAACTTGACCACGAGATTTGCTTTTCGCGATCAGTCGGCTGTACGCAGCTGTCTGAAACACTGTATCGGTTATTATTATGACAATAACGAAATATTTCTTCTCTTTTCTTCTCTTTCCACCGATCGCAGCCGAAATTTGCTCCACCACGGATGTCCCCGCCACGATCAGGAATCAGTCCAGTCCGCTTCATCGCGACGCGGGCAGCGGCAGTGGCGGCGGCAGCAGGGGTGACCGCCGAGGCCCGGCCAGCCTGCTGCTGAAGATGTCTCATGCGACACTCGAGACTCTGGTTGCCACGGCGATCGGTCATCATCAAGGCGTGGGAGGCACCGACGGGGGTTGTCAGTGCAACGCAGTGAGTGTTCGGCCAGAGGAAATCTCTTTCAGTATTTTTTCCCTCAAACAAACTTGCATTTGAGTCATGAATTATAATATGGCAGTGACAGATATCCACTTTCTGAAAATGAAAAAAAAATCATACCTGAATATTGATTTTAATATACTTAATGTCAAGTCATCATGGCCAGGCCTAGGGCCTATACAGGTAGCTCTTCCAACTGTCAATTTGAGCTCATATGTAGACTACTGTACAGACGACATCAACCCCCCTCCCGTGCTCTGCCTTCAGATTCAGAAGTGAAAAAATTGATGTGAGACAGATCAAAGTGGAAAATATCGACAGGACTTTTCTACTGAAACGTTACAGCATAATCTTGCCATTGTTCTTGCTGATAAAAAGGAAAACTGGAGGGCTATTTTTTTTTCGTTTGAGGTTAATGTCACAGTGTATAGGCCTAAGGAAAAGTTCGCCCAAAGGATTTACAGCTAAGGTAGTGACGTCCACGAACACCCACGGCCGTCGGAACCGTCTCCAGTTTGTGTTCAATAGTTGGTCTTTCACGTAGCAATGCTTGAAATTATTATGATATTTTTTTTTTCAAATTGGTCCTTCGATCTTCTCGAATCACTATACTAATCCCAACCAGTGTCCGCATTTAAAGTGGTAATTGACAAAAATGCCGGCAGGGTCAGGGACCTTCGCAGGGCATTTTCTATCATCTCCCTTTAGAGCACGGACATTGCCAGGCTGTCTTCATAAGCATTATTCCATCGGAATAATAGCCCGTGTAATCACCCTAATTATCATCTATCAATATTGTCGATATTTTACCGAGTAAGATATTCGAATGGGGGGCGAGTTAAAGCGACGAGATTCGGAGCATGCCCCGGGGAAAATTGCCAGCAACCCCACTGGCTGGAGAAGATGGGTGCTATTGCAATAAATTACTCGGTCCGTTATTATTATTCATGAATCAGACAGTTTACTCTGCAAGGTAGGGCCTGCTCCGATTTCGAAGATGAGCTCCCTGAAATTGTCGAAGATTGATTACAGATGCTGACCTGCAGTATTACAGGTTAAGAAAGGGGCTCGCGACTAAGGCTCTCAAAATCCTGCAATTAGCTTACACGACAGACCTACTTCGTTGTAGGCTACCGGCGGATCTCGATTCCCCTTCAATAAGCCAGCCGTATGTAGGGGTCGTGCATACAATGATGCACGGTGTGTTTGCATGCCTTTTGAGAAAATTTGGAAGCCCGAAAAAGAATAAAAACAGGCCAACCCTTGTATTTCGCCGCGGTCGCACACCCATCTCTGATTTGGAATGGGTGCGGTGGTGAGAGATTTTGCAGGCTTTAAAACATGTATGAAGGCATTTACGGTTTTAATTTCGTGTTTTTTTTTCGAAAATTTGATGCAGGCTCACAAGAAATTCGCTGCTCTATCATTGCATGGAATTCTACCTCCATGATCATTGTAATAACTCAGTGTCTACGTCTGTCGGCAAGAGAATTTAGACTTAGTCGGGTCCCCAACCCGTTAAGTAAATTTATTACATAGCTGAGTGCTGCGTTGCTTCAGTTAGCGACCACGTTGGGGTACGCAATGGACTGCTGTAAGTAAAGTGCGAGACTTCCTCGATCTTCGTCGGCCCCTTCTCTGAATTTACAATGTAGCTAGTTTGTGGGCATAGTGTAACTTCCCAAGTTCTTCTGTAAGTTCTTTTCATTAGATCGTCGGAAGCTAACTTGAGCTTGTAATAAGGAAGACGCTTACTGATAATGGTTTAAGGGGGTTCGAAAGTGTTGCGCTGCCCAGTTTACGGACTGCAAATTTTCATTTGAAAGTGTACCGCGCAAGCACTGCATTCCGGTAACGTAGCCGACATTTCAACTGCAACAATTGTCATGTATTGGCAAATTACAAGTCATAACCTAATGCACGTCCGAGGCTAAAGTAAAGTCAAATTTAGCAGAGAAAATATTGATTACATCTAGAATGTTTCAGGCCTGTCTCATCCCCTCCTTCCTCCATGGTCTCATGCATAGGATTCGTGCACAGACTGTCAAGTTGTGTCCCTATATGTAGGCTCTTGGTACAATTGTAGCTTTATAATTTCTGGAAGCAATATTGGGAGTATGGAAATTGACAACCATCGTCCTGCTGTGGGACTTCTGTACATGTAGGTCATTGTAGGATAGATGTTGTGTTTTCGGTAGAAGAAGGGATAGTTATTATTTTTTATTGTTTTAAAATCAAATCATTGAAGAAAAATGTGGGTTTTTGTCTCTGATTTTTGCATCTTTTTTTCCAGGGAGATTTTTCTATGGAAATGACTCAGTAGCGTCTCAAGGAAGTGCACACATCGACTGCTATAGTACATGTAATCATGGTAATAGCAATGGGCAAACATAAAACGGTCATCTGCAACAATCTTCAGACACACCTTGTGTAGTATTTTTGCCCAAGATATCTTGTCACACCGTCAGGCACAGTACATGCGTTGAGGGGAAATAGTCCTTGAGTTTAATTAGGAAAGCAGTTACATGTAAATCGGATCAACTGGACTCCCGTATTACATCCAATCCAGGATGCTTCATCAGACTGTCTGATCTTGTGGCAGTCACTAGTTTCTGACCCATGGCGATGTACCGGTAGCCTTTCGTCAAAGCCTTCGCAGCTGTGTTCATGTGTAGTTGTAAAGGGGCTGGACCAGAGACCACATGCACGAGTGGCGCAGCCACAAGGCCTTTTCCAACTTGTCAGGAATTTCTTACTTTTTCTTAATGTTTTTGATTTTTGCTACCCCTTTGGGGTAGCAAAAATCCCAACCAATCATAAGCGAGGGGGTCAGCATACATTCACCTATTATGCAAATTGAAAGTTTACGAAAGATAGCGAGCGTGTCAAGTGTGTCGGCGGCCATGTGAGTGCCGGTCAGTATCCTGAGCAGTATTTGGACAGTTTTTTTCTGCTGGAAAACTTCAACTTGCCGAGTTTAAACTGTGCAGCGTTAGGCTATTGAAGTATCTGTATGCGGGCATGACGTTTTTGTCTCTGCCCACGTGATATGGTAAGAGCTCCATATTTCAAGCACTGGGGTTTTGCTTTGACCATTGAACCAACAAGCATCATAGTTGTCATCTCACGGTTTATATTGCCCTCATGAAAAACCAGATGGAACATTGCATAATCTTTGGAGTTGATGCCGTTTATTTCGGAGACGCTATGCTTCAACTGTTTACATGAAATTTATGAATAATGTATATAAGAAAGCTTATGAATAATTCACTACAAAAACCTCAAAATAAAGTTGGAAAAGGCCTTTTGGCTGCGCCACTCACCTGATCTCCTGTCCAGTCGCTTTGCAGTTACACACGCACAGCCATGAAGGCTTTGACAAAAGGCTAGAGTCAGATGTAGCAGTGGGTACCACGAAACCATTTCAACATGTACTTTGCATTGGAGACAAAGTACACGTACAGGTACATCTTGAAATAAGGCAATCTTGTTTGTGTTCCAAAAATCAAAGATGTGAGTTGAGGCATGGGCTTGGCAGGGCATTTGTTTTATTTACACTTCATTCTTGTTTCAGAATCCAGAGCCACAAGTGAGCACTCGGCACCAGCGCCTCCTGAAGAATCCAAGATGTCAACCGCTAGGCCGCTGCCAGTTCTGCTGCTTTCAGGATACTCTCCTGGAGACGCTGCCCATGACCGTTCACCCTGTCGTCCTGCTGCGACTGCTGGAGCAGGTGCTGCTTACCACGCTGCGCGGCACGCTGAACGGGACGCAGGGTGAAGCGGGCGATGAGATCCTGCAGACCAAGGCAAGGGAGATTGGTGAACCCACATACTGCAAACATTTCAGTGTTCGTGTTCCTTAGATTTGCCCTGATGCAGCATGAATACCTCTAATGCCTTCCTGGGATATTGCTTGGTAGATACCAAGCCCTCCAAGGTCATTCACAATAAATTTGGTGCATTCATAGTGAATTCCCCCTTTTTTACTGTTTTGTGACTGGTACCGGTATGTGGGTGATTCCAGAAATTAGCGGTCCAAAAGTGTGCCATTTTTGTGTCCCTGTTACATCTGACCTTTGTTATTTGACATGGAAATATCACCGAAATTGAATTCAAACTATTAGTATTTGTTTGGCGGGTAATTTGCATTAATTCATCACTCTTGGAAATAAGAAAATGTGTTTTGAGCTTTCAAATCCATTTGTCAGATGTGACAGGGACACACAAAAAATGGACCGTTAATTTCTGGAATTACCCATGTGGAAAAGATTTAGAGTTTATGAAAAATGGGATATTCACCCAATGTACATGTACATCGACAAAAAGTCTCCTTCCCTCCGTCTGTTGTTTTGCAGATGCCATGCAGTGTCACCTGCAGTTCCTCCCTGGTATCCGTTGCATCGGGCTCTTAGAATCAATCATTAACATGAAATACTAAAGTCATAATTTACTAACACATATGCATTTTGTTAACAATTTTAGCAAATTTACAAGAGGCCAGCACCTTGATCTAATTGGGGCAATAAGGTCCATGTGAAGTAGCTGTGCCTAGGGTGGAGCCTCATTCCTTTAAGGATTTTGGAAGATGTAGGGGAGCACAGGTCCAGTTTCCTTAATCCTAACAGTCCCCTGTCTTTTATCTGTTGAAGGATCAAGGACTGTCAGGATAAAAGGAAAAAGGTTTTTGTGGATCAAAATTTCACATTTCTTCATTTGGCCACCAACATTACAGGTCCTGTTGATGCTGACAAGATGGTTGGACACCATTCCCGAGGACTTCCAATGCAATCCTTTCCTGCGGCGGGAGGCCTCTCTGCTGATGAGACGCCTTCCACCCCTCAGCAAGCATTTCCAGCCCCTTGTCAAGAAGATCCAGGGGTTGCTTTCCTCGTCTTGCTCCTCAGATCCTCTCCCCCGACCCATGAAGACGCAGCAGCACCAGGAGTTTCCCCAGCACAACCCCAGTATCTCCTCCACCGAGAGCCTACGGTTGGCTGCCACTACCACAGGTGCGGGCGCCTCCCCAGAGCCCGAGGACACCGCCTCAGTGGGCTCCAGCTTCTCCCGGCCTGGTGGCCGGTCGGCAACTGGTGTGAGCGGCCCGCTCAGCCGGTTCAAGCGGAATGCCTCGCTCAACTCACAGGGCTCCAGCTGCTCGTCAGTCAGCGGGCTTCAGAGCGTGGGCGGCCTGCCCTCTGCTATCGCCAAGAAAGCCACTCTCATGTATGGGGAGGAGCTAGACCAACTCTATCAGAAGGTAAGATCCAAATATAAGATGGCATTTCTCTACAATTAAGCTCAGGCTGAGTCAATTCGAGTAATGAAATATGTTTGTAACATTCAACCTTCCAGTCAGTCTATTATTCAGGTATTCGGCTGTACCAAATTCCCACAAAAACAAGGACAAACATGGGAATACATGTGCAATAATAAGAATATGTGAATATTTGTCAATCAGTTTTTAATTGAATAATCATCACAGCCCTTAAATAATCTATGGATTCATTTGCACCGGGAACTTCACCGCAGTGTCCTGTTCGAATCCACTACAATTCCCTGCAAGTCAATGTCACAAACCGGATTTGGAAATCAAGTCACAAGCCATTCAAAGGAACTGTGACAAATGCTTGTTCTTTGCTGCTATTCGCCCTCTGACCAGTGACTGGTCTTACCGCTTTATTTGAAAGGATTTATGAAAGGACTTGTAAGGACAGTTTTCTCATGGTGTGGCAGAACTAAAGAGGTTTTTCCAAATCTGGTCTACAGTACATCTCTTTGGCCTTGCATGGAATTTGTTGGATCTGTATTAAAATGAAAATACTCCCAACTTTTGGTTGATGGCCTATCAAGAATTGGATTCAGCTGGCAAAACGGGACTTTCTTTATTGATCAAGCCAAAGTACATGTACATGTACAACATCATTCGGACCAGGAAGTGCAGTGCAAACCAATGAATTATGCGCGTGTGCTGGTTCATATGCTTGTTCCCACCCTAATGCCTTTTACGCATAATTCTGCTCATGATACATGTATGTATACATGTATTCACTTCGGTACACTAAACCACTATACATGTACATGTATGTGTCTGCAAAGCAAGGAATATAAAATCGAGCATACTTGTGTAACATATCCATCTGTTGTTGGGGTTAGCGGATATGTTACAACTTGTACATGTACACGTACACCATAGATGGATTTGAAGCCAAGGTTTGAAAAACCACCCTTGTATTGGATTTAGGTTGGAGGCTATTACTTTAACATGTTTAATAGGAGATACATTCAGACTTCGTTCATGCAAGAATTCAGGTTTATTTGAAGGTTCACAATTGAAGAATTTGGGCTCTTCTATGAAATGCATGTATAGGAGCCTACATACATGTACAGGGGTAAGCTGGTTTGACAGATCTCCATGTTGTACATGTACATGTTACAAGTCAGTTGCTATGGCCACATACCGGTAGCAAGTGGTTCAACAAGAAATTCTCACTAGAGGGCAGCAGACTGATGTACATGTGTAGTACTTGTCATCAAACTGATTCCACAGTAACTTTCAGCGCCTTGGAATAGTGTATGGCACTTAAGTGTTTTTTATTATTATTACTATTTCTGTCTGTGATACATATGTTCAGTAGTCAGTTACAACTTGCTTTTATTTTTGACAGGTTACAAAATACCAGTACCAAGTTGGATTTTGTTGCTTGTTTTGTTGGTGCTAGTGTTTCATTTCGTATGAGACATCCACAAAGGAAAAAACCGTCTCCAATAAGTTACAAAGTACATGTACTGTTGAAGTACCTCAGTGCAGTACATGTGCGGCACTTTTGACTGTTAAACAATGTACCGGTACGTGTACGTAGTAGATAGAAAAAAAAAAAAATTCACAGAAAATGACAGTACGAGTACATCTAAGTGGTTGTCTGTAAACTGTAAAACCGTTCAGCAGTACAACCAAGAATATTCATGCTCTTGAAATATTGATATAAAGACTCACCTGACGTGTTTTTCTCTAATGCCTACATGTACATGTACATGTACATATTTGTTTTGGATAATTCTGAGGCACGTGAAATAATTACTCGGAACAAATGGAGTATGAAGTTTTCTCCTAGGATAATCGTCCCCCAACTCTAAACTTTCCTTCAACAGTTGCAAGCACATGTGCACTTTTCTGTGGCTGGGTGCTTACTCTTATGTATTATTAGGCCAAACAAAAAATAGCTGTGTTTCCGGCTACCTGACCCAACCTAGAAAATCACGCGGAACCTATATCTTTTCATTCAACAAATCAGTAAATTATATAAACTTATGATGCCTTGTCCCCGAGCCTAATTTTGTGTACATCGTCCTATACATTGTATTGTTTTAAATTTTTTTTTGTATGAGATGAACGGCTCTTGTGTGTTTGCATTTCAACAACCAGCTTCTTTACTACTCAATCACAGTGCTGATATATAATATGTACAGTACATGTGTTAATCTGACACTGACTTAGTACCTGTTACAAATATACACCCCCCCCACAAAATAATACAGACCATCATCCGACCCAAATTGTTTGGGCTATAAAAATTTAGAGTAAAAAAATCTTTACCCAACCAACCACCCTAATTTATTTTTCAGTGTAATAGGAAACACAACTAATTTTTGTTTGGCCTTATTTGCAGTGCTTAATGATTTTGCAGTGAGGTACCAGTACATGTACCAGTGTGTGCATTTGTGTGTGAGAAATAGTCTGGTTACCCGTGGCAACAAGAAAATCCAATAAGCTTGTAAACTCCATTTTGAATGATATGCTGTACCCTGACTTGTTCCTACTGGTATGTAGAATTCTTTTGAACCCCCCCTCCCAGAAACCACTATCCACATTACATGTAATATATGGAGCAATCCCTCACTTAGCTTTCACATACGGTAAAAGACATGTACAACATTTACCCGTATGACTGTCCTCAGTATTTTCCAGATTTCATTCAAATTTTTCACACATTATGGCAGGGGCGTAAATCGGAGGGGGGATGAGGGTTATATTCTTTCTACTTTCTGAAGGGGAGATGGGCTATTGGATCATCCCCCTCAGTTTTTCGTGATGAGGGGGAAAAAGTGGATATTTAGGTTTTCTTCGAAACTTCTTAACAACCAGAATGCATTTAACGAGTATCAAAGATGGAGAAAACTTATGAAAGTTTATATATATGCAGTTTTGATGTACCAGTACGTGGTATGTACATGTACATGTACATGTATATGTGAGGTTATGGGGTATGAGGTACCCAATGTGCACTGATCGATCTGTGTCATGATCAGCGACCCCTAGTGTCAAACAGTGTCCAATTAGTCCCTTTCCAAATATTGGTTTCTTCCAGTACATGCGCAGTATATGTGAATTTTAAGTCATCCCCCATCCCCCCAGTTCCACTGAACAAATTTACAGTACACCACCGGAGGATGGAGTAATGGGGCAGTTCCATGGTGTCAGATGCACATGTACATGTAGGTTTTGCAAAATTAGCAAGTTTTCATGGGTGTATGTGTATGTATGGTACATGTATACACCTGTACATGTCAGTGAATTTTAGTTATGATAAAAGGCATTTGCTGTATGATAGGGAAAGAAAATTCTCATGAACCAGGGCCGTTTTCCAATACTCAACTTCGTCTCCATCGCAGGCTTCGTGTAGGAAACCAATCCCCAATTGTTGGCCTGAAGCGTTTAACTTACATGTAAATTGAAGTACTGTAATGTTTGGCTCTTGTGCATCTTACTTGATGTTTTGTGGCACTATCAGACCGGTTCTATTGCGCTTATAACCTCAAAGTCAGGAAGTGAAAAACAGTTGAAGCCTAAGATGGAGCCCAAGTCGAGTATTGGAAAATGGCCAAGATTGACTCAAAATACGAGGACCATGGTGTTGGACAAGCCGGTACTCAGACACACTGACTCTTCCAGCTACTGTACTAGTACATCCTTTTTAAATATTTGTGTGTGTGTTTTGTTTAAGTCTCGTGGGACAATACCATTCGATGTGCTTCATGGAAAAATGTGATTCTTTTAGTGGCTTGCAGAAATGTCATATTGTTTTGAGTATTGGACGTATATTTCTTGGCGTCAGCAGCACTGGTACCATACTGGTACGTGTCTGATGTGGCATGACTAGGTTGACAATTATCAGTTTAAAACAAGGTTTTCTTTTGCAAAGAACTTTTTAGCACAAAATACGGCCCTTCTCTGTGTTAAAAACAAAATAGTCTCGATGTTGTTTTCATTTGGCTCCCAAAAACAAGAGTCCCAAAATTGACACCCCAAATTTGTTTTTTTAGTGTGCTGTGCATCGAACGTACAGTAGCAAGGGGAACTTCACACCCCGGGATTGTAAATTTTAATGCATGTAAACAATTAATAGACATCAAAATCAACTTGGCGGTACAAATTTCTCTGGGAGAGCCTTTCAAACTGAAAGTTGTCGTACAGTTTGTTTCTTTTGAGTTTTGCTTTAATGCTATAGAAACAAACATGCATTAGAAAATGTGAAGTGTCACATTTTTAATTTCCCACAATGCGACGAAGGAGCCAGCTTGAAGATGTCCTACAGTTGTCGATACAGGCAATCTAAGTTGACGTTTTCAGTTGGTAGTTGGTCAGGGGCAACCAGCCAATTTTTAATAACTGAGAACTCTTTATTTAATTTTGTGAGCACTTTCCTAGAACACCCTTCCTGAACATCTCGTGATGTGTCAAAAAAAAAGTTTGCATCAATCTGAGGAAAACATGAGCAACATTCACGACAATTAAATAGGAATGGACATCGACGCAAACTGCTGACTGTCCCCCACGGCACTGGCCTGTATCATCAGGGGTGCCCGACAATCTCCGCACTAAAAAAAAAAAAAAGGGACTAGAATCAGATGACTGAGCATCGTGCAGACAATAGCCTTGAGCCGGCGCACACACGGCAAGCGATGGATAAACCTGTCCTGGCCGGTATGCCGCAACTCAGACAATGCACTGCAGGGCAGGCCAGCGTGCAGGACTGACTCGGGAGGAATCCGTGTCACATCCAGCACTTCGGGGGGCTCGCGATCCGCTCCTGCCGAAATTTCATTTCTCGCATACACACAGTCTGTTTCACTCATCCCGCAGTTGGGTTTTTTTTCCCCGTTGAAAGTTGAATGGTGTATCTCACTTGAGGAATGCTCACTCGTGGTTAAAAGACTGGCCTCACTGAACATGTTTACAGGGTTTTTTTATCTGTGTGGGAAAAGCTATTGGTTTCATTTCAATGTTTCTTATTTTCTCCCAATGTCCATGAAATTTGTGGTCCATTTTCACAGTGATGGCAAGTAAATTCTAATGGACTGGACTCTGCTCCAAGCGCTTCATAACTTACATGTACGTACAGTTTGAGAGTGCAAGTGAAAGACTTCAGTGTACCGGTACCTGTACATGTTTTGTATGCTTGTACTGTACATGTACATTTACCTACTCAGGAAAAGGACATGTACGGTACGGTATATGTACCAGTTTGTTTTGAGGAGTGTACACAAACCTCTTGTGATCTTGTGGAAGACACTGCATTGCAGCTGGAGTGCACGTGAGCAGTGGCACGCAAGTGCAATAATGTAGTGATCTCTGTTCATACCCTGTGATGGTATATTTTTTATGCAAGTTCACAAAGCTAGTGACATTCTGTTTTGCACAGTTCATTATTGGCAAAACTATAAACAACAGGTACAAATTTATTTCAGGTTTCACTATGCATAATGTGTTTAGGATGCTAACCATAAAATAACTTATTAGCCTCTTTGCCAGGATTTTTGCTACAGAATTTGAAGTCACGAAATCATTGTGAATTCACAAATAGTTCATTTGTTGTTATTTTGTTTTAATGCCGCTTTCAGCAACTCAGGCTGTTTGCGCCAATAACTGTACGTTTATTCATACACTTTATTAATCAGCATCACGTTACGGAGTTAAGAAGAAGGTCCAGTTTTAGAGGCAGGGGGAAACCGGAGTACCCAGAGAAAACCTGCAAGAGCAAATATAGACTGGAAACCAAATGCACTTAAAGCTTGGGCCAAGCCGGGACTCGAACCTGGGCCTCATTGGTGCAAAGCGAGGAAAGAACCGCTACGCTAACCCGCTCAGCCAATAGTGCATTTACCGGTACAGTGTACCATAGAATTGACCAGTGTACACTTTACATACGATACATGTACCAGTATACTGCTCCTGGTAGTCACTTTTAAGAACTCATTTCATTGCTCAATTTTTTCGTCCACTTTCTGTTTTGGGCACTAGATTAAGAAAAACTGAATTGCACTACAAAAACTGTGGTACATTTCAGTTCAGATAAAAATGTATCTACATGTATAGTATCTGTTTTCTGCCAACGTTGAACCTAGCCATGGGTCATTTATATTTGACACCTCTTTGAAAAACAAAGAAACACAGAACAAAAATATCTCCTTACGAAAAGGTCTTCTACACTGATGTTTTTCACACATACATTGTACATACATGTACATGTACATCAGTAGCTTGATTTGAAAATCCTACTGATTTCATTCATGAATTGTTCAAGTTTATAAGATTGTGTGATTTCTTTGAATTGCGGTTTCAAACAATTGATTTATAGTCAAACGTTTTTCTCAATCTGCCTTTGCTTTTCCAAAAAGAGTGCTACATACCTGCACATACGTGCACAAGGATTTTTATTTCTGGTCTTGTTTTTATCAGTATACATGTACATCTACAGGTACTTCCCATCCTGACTTTCCTAAAACAGTATTCTTTCAGGGGCACTTCAGCTTCTGTAGTTTGTTTTATTTGTAAGTGTGAGTTTTCATGTGTTATGAATACTTGTAATTTGTTGTTGCCATTACACTGTGAGAATGTATGGTACTGTAAGCTGCATTTGAACTTCAATGTGACTACAGTTGTACCCAGTACATGTACATGTACATTGTATGAACATTTGTACAGTACATGTACATGCATACAGACCTGTGGACAATGTGACCTTTCTTAACTACTGGTACTGTAGTGTGTGCTTGGATGGAAGGGGCAGGTGAACAATACAGCACTTTGTCCTAAGAAAAAAAAAACCTTTTTATGAGGTTCAAATATCATCATGCCTCAAGTACATGTACATGTACATGTGTACAAATACTGGTAAATGTGCCAGTACAATGTACATGTATGCACATGTACATGTATTTCAGGAACATGTTTGTACCCGGTACTCTGCTCTTCCTTGAATGGGCTTTTCACCTTATACATTAATACGAACGATTCACCAATGTATAGGTTACATGTATACAAAAAAGTACATGTACATGTATGAAATTGTGTTTGTTTTGGATTTCTTTTCCTGAATGTTGGATACATTGCGTATCTGGTATAAGTTTGTGAAAACTGCGTAAGCTGCAAGCTTGAAACTACATGTACATGTATTGTAGTGAATTCATGATTTGAACATTTAAACTTAATTTCATGCAGTTACAAGTAGTAAATAGCCTATATTCATATTTTGTTAGTGAGTAATTGAATAACAAACATGGGAAAGACACTGCCCCCTCCCTAACCCTCTCCAGGAAATGCACTGCATTATTACTGAACTATAACAGAGTTCAAGGAATAGGACTTGGCCCATTTCTTCTCAGGTTTCCAAGAGCTCTGCCGGCCGAAAAAATTTCTTAATGGTGTTTTGAAATAGTGACTTCGTGTTTCCTGGCTTAAAGCCTCATCATCGGCGGCAGCGGCAGGAAAGGTCAGATGTTTATCCTCGGCATCAGGAAACCCCCCCCCTGTAATTCTCCTCATTAGCCTCGGAGGTGTAGGGTTTCATACTTGATGCACACAAGCACACCTTGGGAAGGGGGGCCGACTTCAGCCAATCAGTCTAACGGTCGGACTGAATCCTGTACAGTTGTGCTGTTGCTCACACTGCCTGCCAACTCTCTTTGTTGTATGATCCTTTTTTTCCCTCCCTTCCCTGAGTTGACTGTTCACGCTTCCTTGTTTCGCTTCTAATTCATGGACTTTGCTGTTTACCATGTTTACAAAGCAGGCTGGCTGCTCTGAAAGAGGAAAGAGGAATCTACCACACATCATTGACTCACTACTGAAACATGTACAGTGGGCATTTTGAATTATTGTGTTGACTTAGGGGTACAGTTTTGTCATAGTGTGTCCATTACATTAGTTGGCATTTTGAATAATGGAACAGTGTTTGACCATAAGCCCCTGTGCTAAGAGAACTGAAGTACACCCAGGACAAGGACTTGAGGAAAATGAAGAAGTTTGTGTTGACCTTTTCCAGATTGTTTTTGATAATGTATTGCTGTTGTCAAATTGTTTCCTAAACTTTATCCAGTGGGGTTTATATTTGTGGTTTGTTTTGATTTTTTTTCCTAATGCAGCTGAACCGTGACATCATTGATGAGCATCTGCCATGCAGTCAAGAGGACGCAGTGAAACTGGCCGCTCTCCAGCTGTTGGCTGAGTCACCGGCTCACCACACACCCACGACAGCCCCCCACCACCACCACCACAGCCAACAACAACATCACCACCACCAGCATCAACAAAACTACCACAATCCTCATCACCACCAGCCGCCAGCCCCCACGACCCGGCCAGTCATGGGCCTGCCCACAGTCACATTGGACCTGCCTTCTGAGGACCTCGAGACTCCCATCGTTGACGACTTCATCCTGGAGGACGAGCTGGGCCATCAGAGCCCTGAGCCAGACGGTGGCATCGACCTTCTCCATCACTGTATTCATCATCATCCTCAGCTTCATCATCAGAGCCCAGGCTTGAGTGACAGACACACCATCTCCAGGACCTCTGGACCCTGTAAATCCAGCCCTGATAACACCATCGCTGACGGGGACAGTGACAGCCCATTACCGTGGACGGGCAGGACGGCACCGCAAGCCGGAGAAAACCCTGGTGTGATTGTCACGCACTCGGGCAACATTCCACTGGAGGACGCTGCCGCAGCCTCTGCCATTGCTGCCCACGCAGCGGCTGATAAAGTCTGCCTGGACAAAGTCAAGCGATGCCTGCCCCGCGGTTACAGCAATGCCCGCGCCGTGCAGAAGTCGGCTAAGAGGTGCTTCCAGTGCTACTCGGGTGCGCTGGCAGATGTGCGCGACCCCGCCGAGCGGAGTTCAAGGGCGAAGCAGATGTACGTGGAGTTCTGTAAGCAGTTACCTCTATACGGGAGTAGGATGTTTCACGTGAAGGAAATGGCTGGGAGCCGACTGAAAAAGAAGGTCAGTATATGCATGCTTGTTTATGAATGATGTTATAATGGTGTAATGTCGTTGACCTTCTGTGTACGTGTACATTTTTCTGCACATGATGAATTACATGTATTGTTAGCTTTGACAGGTTTTTCTGACACAGATGTTTCATCTTTTGTTTCATCATCGTTTCCTCTTTTCATGACATCCATCACACTGCGAAGATGTCAGGCACCACTGTTCTTGGGTTAGAAGTAAAGAAATGCAGGGATGCTGTGTCTTGCTGGATTTTTTTTTCTCTTTTGCGGCAAATACATATGTACATGTTCCACCAATCATGTCTTGAGGGCATTTGGTTAAGAAGTTTATCATGCTGTCTCTTTGTGTACCTGTAGTGTTGATTTGATTTCCCACTTCTACCGGGCTTTGATTTTTGTCAGTTCCTCTTGATGTACACAATCCCCTTGGGAAACCGGGAACATTCCTCGCTGGTCAGAATAGCCGCCAAACTGTTTTCATTTTTGTTCACTAAACATGTTTTTTATTTCAGCTTTCCTCCGTGAATTGGAAACTTTATAAATCGCTGCCAAGGATTACACGTAGAATGACTAAAGCCGTCTGAACTTCCTGCTATTGTGCACTTGTTTGAGTGTGTGGTATGTGGTATCATTCACTCAAACAGTTCTTGGCACTGGTATGCCCAAAAGGTTCTCTGAAAAGGCAAACATTGTAAATCACAATGGGACACAGTACATGTACATGTGCATGTACAGTACTACCAGTAGTAGGTCATAAAAGATCCTTGCCAGCTTTTTTTGTTACTTACTCTTACTGTGTGTGGGTATACCGGTATACATGTACGTACACATGTACAGTACATGTACTGTATCGGTACACGTGGAGTTGTACTTGTACTGTACATGTACATGTTCCTGGTACACTACATGTACATCGTACATGTATCCATGTGTATGTGTAGTACTAATACGTGCTGACATGCATCATTGTAACATGTACAGTACGTCATTACCAAAGTTGTCAAAAACTCCAAGAGTTTGTGTGATAATGCCATGTGTGTTTTTTTCCAGTGGGATTTGAGTGGGAGTGATGTGCTTGTACTGGTACATACTATGACTCAGGCTGTTTGGAGGGACACCTTGTGTCTAGACAAGACGAGCAGAAGGGTGACAAGTTGTCCTGAAACTCCAGATTGTGTTTCTTTATCCCCCAAAAGCCACAAAACCACAAACACCCCAATGATTTGATTTGGAAGGGGGGGGGATGAAGGCCAAATTTACTAAATAATACATGTACCAGGAGGTATGGACAGAGAATATAGTGGTTTTTCTTTATGCCATTATGGACGCTTCCCACTCTCTAGACAGTCTGATCTCAGGATGGGGGGTCAGTGGTATACTGGTAACTTGTATGAGAAGGGGACAATAGTTTCTCCCTCAAACCCCTGTATCCCCTCCACCCCCCAAAAAAATGGCCAAGAGAGAAAAAGGCTAATTTGTTTCATTCAAAATTCCAATCAGTATAATGTACTGTGTATACATGAATGTACGGTCAGTACATAATGTACCAGTGTAGAAGTACATGTACATGTATGTTGGGTGCAGTATCCTACCATAGATCTACATGTATTTCTTTTTGGTTGTTCCCTTAAAACTTTGGAAATTCTAACAACCTCCCATAAAGGGATATTTTGCAAAATATAAACATTTCCTTAAAGGAAATTCCTGCATCCAAATAGAACTTTGTAGACAGCTGGTTTGAGTTTATTTTCTTGTGGCGGGAGAGGGGGACTTTTGAGGGGATCATGTTGTAAAAATGCTTTGCCTTTGGTTTTTGGATTTGAAATGAAGATTACAGCTCTGGGGGTAGGGCCTATGTTACGAGTACAGTACATTTTCATGTACCTGACTGGATTCTCATACTACTGTAAGTTCTAGACAAGTGCACCTCTAATAAACTGCACACTAAATAAATCCTGCTCGTAAACCTGCATGTGGTTACCAACCATGAACATGTGCCAGAAAAGATCACCTTGACACTATTTTTTTCCTCCGATCCAGTCATCAGAATTCTTGTACACGAAAATTTATGGGTAGGCCCTATATAGCGGTACATGCACAGTACCATGCCATACATTTGTGCATGTACATGTACCGGTACATCACATATACATGTACATTGTATGCCCATGTTTTCATTAATTGGACATGCTGGAAAAGTAATTTAAAAATGAACTTGTGCACTTTATTTGATGGATTGTCATAAAATGTAGAAGTGGTACGCACACGGAATGCACATCACAATTTTTTTTATAAGCTTAAAAACATCCCGGCCAGATTTTACAGGGTGAATGATATTGCTATTTCTCATGTACGTCGCTTGGATTTCACTTGGGCAGTCTCCTCGCAGCAGGGGTGTGCATCTGACTTCGAGAATGTTGGGGGGATCGCGTTCCTTGATACAGTGCAGGGCCATCCACTTCACCTGGTGAAGAATTTTGAGTGGCACATGTAGCATGACTCTTGAGAAAAACAGCAGTGCCTCCAAGGGAGACAGGAGTTCATCTCAGGTGAATTCCACCACTGGGGGGAGATTTTGAGAGAGATAAATCGTGAGAGGCCTTGAGAGGGAAAGGCCTCTCTTTAGCTTCTTGGAAATGTCCACCGCCACCAAAGACTGACAAGAAAGTCTAAATACTGGTAGATGAGGAGATTGACCGGAAATACATTCTGATTGGATTAGGCACCGGTAGTGGATTCTCAAAAAACCTTGAACTTACAGGTAGAGAAGTCACTTGTAGTTGTACATGTATACTCTCCAAGTGATAGGATCCCAATCATTTCTATCTACATGTACATGTGTACTTGCCAGGGGCAAGTTGTGGAAATTCTGCACACCTCCCGATGAAACAAAAGCTTAAATTGTGGAAAACAAGTTTAGGCACTTGTGCGAATACCATTACTGGTAGTTGTGTATGGCATAAGGAATGTGCTGTACATGTACATGTATCTTGTTAACTGTGTACTAGTACCAGTACTACCGGTGTATGGTGTACATGTACATACACCGGTAATGTGTACTCATAGTTTACATCAAATAAACACTGTACATGTACATTGTTCTTTTACTGATGGGATGCATGTGCCCAGCTGGCTGTCCCCTAGGGGTGTGACTAGGGCTAAATTTGTGAGGAGGGGACACAGGGGAGCGCACATTTTTACAAGGGGGGCCACAAGAAAATAAGCTGCAGCTGCATTTCAACAGCTGCATCTCTTACAAGGACACAGTATACAGGATGTACCTTTTTGTAGTCAATATTCATTTTTTATATTATATGTCTTTCTTGTGTTAACCATATTATTACCGGTGGATTTGTATATTTTTTTGAGAATGACCAATTTGAAAAACAGCTATTGCTGAACAATTTTACCCTGTATAAACATGTTTATATATAAAAAAATACACTGTAAATAACAAAAAAATAGAGATACATGTACATGTGTTATTCAAAGATTTCAAATGGGGGTGGGCATCTGCTGGGGGCATGTGGTCCCCCTTCCTGTTACAGCATTGCTGGCCCCACATTAAGGGACAGCTTCTTTCATTAGGGAATTGAGACTGAGTTGTGGGGACAAAAATGTACAGTTGATGTGCCAGTATCGTGGGGTATTGGATTGGTTCTGTCTAATCCTGGTTTGATATACAGCAGTGTTTCTAAAATTCATTCTCTGGCATGCATCAATTTTTACTATGATGATCACAGTGTACATGTACTTGTCTGGTACCGGATATGTATGTATGAAGTTAAAGCTTCAGTAGTGTCCTTTCTTGTACTGTTACCAGTAGTCCATCTTCTGCTCTCTCTCTTTTTTTTTTCTTGTCTTTTTTTTTTCTCATCGTGGGATCAGGTCTTGTGCATCTCAAGTGTCCAGAATAGTGATGGGACCCAGTTAATTTGGATAGTATGTATATGATATGGAAGTTTTGGTGAGAGGGTATGGGACTCCCTCTATTGACCATAAATCATAAGAAGGGGCTTGTGTCACGTTTTGTCTCATTATTCAAAAGAAAATGGCTTGCAGATGTTGGAGATAGTGCCGAGTGTGTTCCGTACTTGCTTTGGAGTGATTTACATTGTACCACTTGTGTTGTTTCCCCTTGGTTTTGACTGTAATGTTGAAACTACCCTTCAAAGGTCTACATGTCCATGTATGTACATGTATACAATACAAAAGGCGCCACTCAACGGTGATGAGATCGGTGTCAATTTGCCCCCACAAAGAAAAAAGGCTTTTAGCATTTTCAAAGCTACATTCTCGTCCATGTACTGGTACATGTACTGTACATTTATTGATTCACTGTACCAGTAAGTTCATCAATTTTTCCTTGAAGAAATGGGAACAGAGTCAAATCTATTTGTCTCCTGCAATGCCACCCTGAAACAGTTCACTGTACTGCCTATCAATATGTCATTATACCTACATGTACTCATCAATATGATAATCTCTGTATTTCCATGTGTTTTGAAAACTTAAAATGATTTTTTGTTTAAAGTACATGTTATGTTCGGTACTAGTACATGTATGTATTTTGTTGAATTCCTGTAAGCTCCGATACAAACACCAAGTACAGTAGGCCTATGTGAGGAAAACTATATACACAAAAAGCTTTAACCACAAATATTTCTTAGGGCACAGCTGCAAGTCAGTCATTTAAATTTAAAGTAACTTTCTTAGAATTCTACGCAGACAGGTGCATGCATGCAAACATAACAATATCTTATCTGAAATGCCACATGAATGTACAGTGAAAAAAAATCACACTTTTCACATATGTATTGTCACAGTACAACTTCAGGAAACATGGATCTTTCTACCCGGGTAAGTAAACAACACAAGACAAAACACCCCCAAAAGAAAAATTAAAAAATGATCTGCGGTAAGGTTACACAACCTCAAAATATACCCTGGCCTTGCAAATTCCTGACAAATAGAGTCATAACATTGTCGTGC